GTTAAATATGCCTCTATTCTAAAGGAGGAAAATTGAGTCTTCAGTTTACTCAATGACGACATCCGCGCCTCCTGCTTGATTGGGTGGTGCGTTACGGAATGAAAGCATCTTTGCATCCAACAATTTCTGGACCTTATTTTTCAAGACAACACAGTCATTGACGGAATGTCCTATTTCACCCAAATGATAGTCACATGCCTTGGAGGGATCATAGTTGGGGAAACGCTCAGAATTTTCACACTTTGGCTCTTTAGCAAGTAACCTCTTTTCCAGGAGAATAGGCAAAATCTGAGACATAGGCCAAGGGAGTGGCGTGAACTGCTTTTTGTTATTTTGCCTTTGGGGTGGAGGGATACCAAGTTTGTATTGTTCACGTTGCATGAACTTTGGGCATAGGGTGCTCAATTCCTTAGGATCAGGGGACTCGTGGACATTGTCAGCTATGACATCTTTACCCTTTTGGTTGACACTGGAGGGCTCCATTTGAATCATCACCCCTGGTCTTGGATAGCGAAGCGGAGTCATGGTGAGTTGGTCTAAGCGGTTTGACAGATGTTCCACTTGTTTTGAGAGTTGTCGAAGAAAGGCGAAGACTTGCTTCATTTCAGTCTCCATGTCCGCCACACGAGTTGTCATATCTTTTTCAGCCATTTTTACTTGGCGAGTTGGTATAATTCGTAATTACCTGTTAAAAAAATGGCAACGAATAAGTATAAAATCTCATAAATGATCAGTCCATGACTTAGTCTAGTATTGCATCTGTCTATCACGTATTTTCTTTATTTGCAAAAAATAAGGGAAGCGAAAAAGTTTTTTTATTTATATATTCATTACAGGCGGCATCCCCGGGATTCGAACCCCGGTCGCCTCGGACCGTTTCGCTCATCCCCGGATACCACTGGGCCGAAGGCCACGGTGGTGTTGTTAAGGTGCAAAAAATATTATTTATAGAATAAAAAAGGTCCGAGTTATATTAACATTAGTACAACCCATAAATACTTTTAAAGAATAAAACCAAAACCCCTAAACATAAATACTAGGAAATATGAAAGACAGGGGCTTTTAACAAAAATGGCGCCCTTCCCGGATGCTCATTCTATAAACGATGGGGAAGTTACAGTCTCTCGAAGCTGCTTATTTTTACGAACAAGCTCCGCAATAAGCGTATCCCTCGTCTCATCGGTCCTACCATGCCATGAACTCTTTCTTAGGAGCGGGGACGAATTGGATATCAGTTCTTCCCATCGTATATAGAATGCAATCAACGGGTGGCCTATCAGTAACAAATCAAATGAATAAGTAGGCTGTATAATAAAATGAGAAGGGATAGAATGTATACCTTTCCTTGAACCATGGCAATCACAACAACATGCACATGAGGAGTGAGGTTCGATTTCTATCTAGACTGGCTCAGCAAAATGAAATTAAAAGGGTGCCTGACCGTCGCAGTCTCGCGTTGGTGTCAAGTCCTTTTAACCTCGGTCAAATCGAAAGGAATATCTTATAGTCACGCGAATAGCGGCTAAAGATGTTTCTTTACAATTTTTTAGAAATAAATTTCGGGAAAAAGAAAGGCAACCTCTACATCGCGGGCTCGCGTTCGAGGTCGTATCTTTCTTAACATTATCCTAAAATGCCCTATCGCGGCCCAGGTCCGGCAGCGTGGTTGTGTGTGCAACAGTGTAGTGCTAAATCATTAAAGCATGCACAACAATTTATAAACAACCAATTTGAACCTGCAAGAACAAATAACACCTTAATGTCGGGATCATACCTGGAGTCCTTGCTGCCAAACAAAAGTTATTTTGAACAGGATAAAAAATTTTGGCTTAAGTCCACTTTAAAAAAAGCAAGTCCCTAGCGAAGTCGCCAGACTGTCGCGACCGACCTCCCGCTTTTTATCGAACATGTGCAAAAAGAAGGGTTTCGCCTGGTACGTGCTAAGTCTTGGTTCGGGACTTAACTCGAGCTCTCCCAAGCCCATACCATATCACGACTTAGGGTTTAATTATTTAACATGCAAGTGGTTTATACCAAGGAGTCGCTAATAATTGATTTGGGGTGAGTCGATTAGAAGCCCAAATAAGGTGATGGGAGAATCACCCTATTCCTACGAACCAGAGATTAACTGAGTTCGGGGACTTGGTTACACTAGTTGGATAACTAATGCCCTTTTGGTACCTTTTTATCCTGTTCATTTCTGAAAACATTTGTCAAGCAATCTGGATTGATTTTAGGACCTTTCTCCTAATATGTGAGGTGATCAAGCGAGTGCATAATTATAAACGATCAGCAGTCAAGATAAATATGCAGCCTTAGGTTCTAATCCTAACTATGTCAGATGACATTCAAAACACAACAGTTCATGGAATTGTATTAAAAACATGCATAATAATAACGCAACGGTAATAAAAATAACATGCAAAACACTACCGCGCAACCTCATAGGCTTGTCTAAATTAAACATAGCAATTTATGAAATTATAACAACATGCATAATAATATAATAAATTAAAACATTCAGATATACTACATAATTTTAAAAAATATATATTTTATCTATTTTTTAAAAAAAAATTAAAAAAAAAAGTAAATACGGAAGAAAAAGAAACATAAAAAAATTGATTTTTGATTTTTTTTTTAAAATTTTATTATTTTTTATTTTTTAAAAAATAAAAATAAAATAATAATATAATATAATATTAAAATCGGGTCGGGTCGGCGGATCCGGGTCTGGTCGGAACCGACCGGGGTCAACGGATCCGACCCAGGGCGTTGACCCGGGTCGGGTCGGTTGATCCGAGTCGGGTCAACCCCGCGTGCACAAACATGCGGGGACGCCGGCGGAGCCAAAATTGGCCTTTCGCCAGCCGACCCAGACCGGCGCCAGCCCCAAATCCGGCCTCTAGGACCGTCCCCGAGCTTCCTCTGCCGTCCACTTACCGTCCGACGCCCCACTCACCGGCCGGCGGCCAAAAAACAAACCAGGCTCCTTGAGACATTTTATTGAGCAGGTGGGGGGCACAACCAAAATCGAGGAATCTCGACCTCCTCCGACGGCTCGGTCGACTCCAGCGGCTACGGTTCGCCTTCGACGGCGAGTAGGGACCGGGACCTACGGCGTTATGGGCGGGGATACGCGCGAAACGACCGGCGCAAGTCCCGGCCAAACCAGACACCAAAACAGGGGTGAACAGAGGAGTTTCTCGGCCGGGGGGAGCTCACTAGTCGACGGCGTGTCTGGGTGGCTTTGCGGCTGCTCCGTGGACGACGGCGACGCTGTTGGTTTTCCTTTTTGCTCCGGCGAACTCTCGGTTTGCTCTCTCTCTTCTATTCTCTCTCTTTTCTCTCTATGTCTCTCTCTTCTCTGTTTTTCTCTCTAATGGCCGACCCCTTCTCTCTCTTCCTCTTTGGTTTTTATAGTGGCCGAGAGCCACTGCTTCTGCTCCCCCACGTCAGCTGACGACGGCCTACACCGGCCTATTCTGTCTTGCGACTTTCGCGGCCATTTAGGCCGGTGCAGAGAGGGGGGGCGGTTCAGTGTGCAGAGGAAAAGGGGAAAGGGAGAGTCCGGGAAAACGGGGAGAGATGGCCGGGTTTCCAGGGAGGACGGGACTGGCAATTAATGCCAGTCCCGTTGGCGTGCTCCCCCGGCCCTGCTCTGGCTGGATAGGGATGGCGCAGAGCTGCGCCGCCGTTCATCACCCTGCGGCCAGAACAGGGGCGAACAGGGGAAGGGAAAACGACGGTCGGCGGGGGAGAAGGAAGGAGGAGAAGGGAGTTGGGCCGGGCCGGGCCCAGCTCACACGGGGAAAAGAAGAAAGAAAGAAAAAAAGGCGGGCCGGGCTCGTGTAAGGAAAAAGAAAAGGAAAGAAATGCGGGCTGGGCCCGTGCGGGGGGGGGGGGGGGGAAGAGAAAAAAAGAAAAAGGCCGGGTCGGCCCAGCCCCGACCCGGCCCAACTCGGATTTTTTTTTTTAAATTTAAATTTTTTTTAAAAAGAGTTCTAAATATCCTATTAATGCAAATGTGCTTAATTTCTATATGCAATGCATTTAAATAGAAATATTTCTTTGTTTTAGGAATTAAAGAAAACTAACTCCTAAATTTTGTGTAATTAATTTTGGGCAAATTAAAATAGGTGTCAACACTGCTATATTACTCCACTTTAAACAAGCTAATATTTGCATATGTAGCATCTTTTCTATGATTAGGTGGATGGTCAAAACATCATAATATTGTAAAAAAAACACACATAGTCAAATATAAAAATATATATACTCACACACACACACACACATGTATATCTCATTAGCATTTGACTCATTTTACATCTTGTTCTATATATGTAACAGATACTACTATAGCATTCATTTTACGCACAACTATCAAAAAAAGATAAAAGTCAAGAATGAAAAGGAATATTATCTTCACATGGATTGTTTAATATTGACCATGCGTACAATTGATATCTGTCCATTCATAGAACAAGCAAATATCAATTGCTTGCTGTCCCTATGGTATTCTTGAGATTAGAAAATGGTTGTGTTACATATTCCTAGCAATTCAAAAGCCCTTTCTCTATTCAATATTAAAAAAAAAAGAACTACAAAAGGAATAATAATAAAAAATATCGTAAGGTCAATGAAATATCCAAGAAAAATGACACTACACTTTAGAAAAAAGGTTCGCAACTGTCTAGTACTATTGATCTTCCTCAAGGTACATTTCAAGAAGGTAATTAATAAACACTAGCAAATTAGTAGGTCAAACTTTTTACAGAATCGCATTGCCAAAGGAACATCACATCTGCTTTCCTTGAACAAAGCAAAATCATGAGTTACCAAAGATTAGAATTTCCAATTTGAATTACCACTAATTTATATGTATCCCATGTACATGAACAAAATCAAGAAATCTTTTGACAAGAAGAGAGGAGAGAAGATAAAAGAGTTATCGAGATTTCCAAAATTGAACCAATAACAACAACAGAAAACAACTGTCATCTAACAACAGTTGAAGCAACGGTGTGAGCCCACCATTTGAGACTCTCTCTTATCTCGGTCTCGTTCCCAAGAGCAGGAACCTTCCAGTTCATCAACGGATCCTCCTTCCTCTTCTCCTCCCACCATTCCCACGCCTCCGAGAGATAAGGCCTCGCAACAACTGGAGACTCACCAACACTCGCTTTCTCGTCACCATCTTCTTGATGTCGGTCGGCACCTTCTTCGCCATCTTTAATTTTCTTGCCCAGTCTCTGTAGCCCCGGAATGATGGAGACCAAGCTCAAGTCGACTTTGTCTTCCTCCAAGAAGACGAACCCCAGATCCATGATCCCTTTTGGCTCCTCGAACTAGAGCTGCGACAAGCTCTTGCTAAAGGCCCTTCTCTTCGCTCTTCCTCCCATTTGGCCCTTCTTTCTGCACGAGCACTCCGAGCTTCCCCAGTTGTTCGAATTGAAACCTTCTTCTTCTTCTTCTTCTTCTGCGATTACCTCTTCTTCATAGATCATGCTCTGAATGGTCGTCATGCGAAGAACTGAATCTGGAGAGAGAGTGCTTGGTTGGAAGCTTGTGGGGATGATGCTCGTTTGATCGTTCTTGGACCTCACGAGAATCGACGGAGTCCAAGAAACATGAAGAGACGGGCTTTCGTTCTTGGGTAATTCTGTGCTTTCTTGACCCGGATCAGATCCGGAGGTTGAAGAAGGCGATGTGGCTGGTCGTTTCGTGAAGATCTCGAGCTCAAACCAACATCTATCTATGATCTTCATGACTCCTTCTGCTTCTTCCATATATGGGGGCCAGACGAAATTGTGTGATTATGGAGATTTAACGAGAGCTCGTGTGGCTTCGTGTTTACATAGTCTTAATTACGGAGATTGCCCTTGGGTTTTCCTGTTATTTACGGGAAGGACTCAAACTCAGCGTTTTACACGTTTAATTATTACTTGATTTGGTCTTGACTCTTGGGTCTTTCCCTATTCGTTTCAATTTCTTTTTAGCCTTGACTACGTTACGCGATAGGGTAGGTTTTCCTAGAAATTGCGAGGGATGGGGATGTGAGAGAGTGATCTGACGTGGCTCTTGGTCAGAGAAAATGAACCAATAACAGTATAAGTACGAACAGAGATATTTTGAGGTAATAAAAGATCATATTGCTCTAGTACCTAACACAAATGAAAATTATTTATCAATTAATGAGTAGGTTAAGTCAAAGTTCTCATATTTGAATTTGCTTTGATGTTGGCATGTGCATTTCAAGTTCTTTTCATATTTAATCAATTCTCCTATCTTATTTAATTTGTACCGTTAAGTCCTCAAAGTTACTTGAAATATAACTTAGTCTTTCCACCTGTCTCTGGTACTTATGCCAATTTTGCTGATATTGATTTGGGCAAGTTCCTCGTCCAAGATGGGTGGGGTTGACAACCCTCGTCAATGGTGGAGCTCTCTCTCTCTCTCTCAAAATTAGTTTTAGACAAATTTCGTTAAAGGATTTTGTTTGCGTAGAAAAACATTGACAAATTAGTTATACTAACCAAACAAATTAGGGAACAAAAAGTACGCTCAGCCGAATATAATCATATATATGGTAGTAGGATTGTGTATGATACTGGATCGAAGTACCAATCAAAGGTTGCTACAATATATCGCGATTTAACTTGGCATTTCCCACGTTCCAGGTTTGAGAATCTAGTTTATGTGCAGGTTGTACTCTGTGATACCATTTGTCCTAAATGGCATTTCCCCAATTATGATGTATTGTGAATTGGATGCCTGGACAACTGAGCATGTATTAGAGGTAGGTGCATGCAAAGGAATCGGGTAACGCCCGGACCGCTTGGAACAAAGCGTAGAACAGCCCACCCGACCGCTTTTATTTATATATAAGACCGCTATATATATATATATGCATGTATATATAATTTTTAAGAAAAATTTAGACCAAAAAAGAAAAGAAAAAAAAAGAAAAAGAAAAAGAAAAAAGAAAACCATAAAATACCTAATTTGAAGCTCGACTCTCAACTCCTATCAATTCACCGCCGCGCCTCTAACCGTCATCGCCTCCCTTTCTCACTCTCGGTCACCTACATTTGCGTGAAACTTGGTGGGACCGGTTCCACGGACCCACCCGGGAATCGAACCGGACCAGCGGTCCGATTCTCGGGTGGATCTATGGAACCAACAGGTGGTTCCCGGTTTCAATTTCTCGGGAGCGGTCCTTAGTGGGCAATTCCCTGTTCTATGTTGGGAATTGCCTGCCCGAACCATGCTCACCCCTAGTTAGAGGTTTAATCTCTCTATTGTTGTCTTTTCTAACAAGTGAAAAAGGTGGCGTGGGATGACCATTGTAGCTATCCCGTCGAGGCTATACTTTAAGGGTCTCACTACTATTATTTAATGTCTAGTTTAAGTCATAACTATTCAGTTCACAAGTAGATGTATGAATTGTCAACACAGTCCCACCGAGTGACGGAATTCAAGAAATTTCTCCTCATGAGGTACAACTGCCTAAGGCATAAGTTGATCAAGGGTTTACTCATAACATGTGTTGAATTTATAACCTTATAAAGACAATATAACCGCTTTACCAATAAAATTATCAGACTTATCAAAAAAAATTATAATCTTCTATATATGCAATATCTAATAATGAATTATTTAAGTCGTTGGTGAAAAATGACATCGATACAAACTGCGGTCCCATTTCCTCCCATTCCTATTGTGACTGGTACAGCTAGGAATAATGTTCATATTTCCAGAGTTGACCCTTAAAAGCAACATCTTGTTGCTTGCACATTACACACACTAATGGGTTCGTCTAAGATGATTGCCGCTAAGCCATTCATCTTGGATTTCCTTCAAGAATGGAGAGTTTGGACAACCTCGATCATTTATACCGCGAAATCAATTGCAATAAGTTTCGATAGATTGAACCTTATTGCAAATCTGCTTGGATATTGTTCTACTATTAACATTTTTCCTTTGAAATCTTCGGAAAATAATTGACACCGTGTTTTTTTTTTACTTCTTATATAATAGAAAATGAAATGTTTTACACGTTTAACCTTAATTCAATTAGAATTAGAAGTAGCTAGTACATATTAGTCGAACGAGACCAATTCAAACTTATATAAGAGGATTTAAACGGAGAGATCTATGCCAATGCTGCATAATTCAGTGGACCTAATGCAATAATTACGTTATATTTTTAGTAGTTCGTGGTCAACGTGATGCTTTTCCTGATGCACGAGGGCAGGATGGTCAACTTTTAAACGCAATTAGACCAAAAAAAAAAAAAATTTAAACGCACGAGCAAAGGATTAACAATCTCGGCACGTGCTTCTCGTGCCCCCACCTCACACATACATTTTTCGGTTATTAAACATGAAAAAACTAACACACATACATTTTTTATCACCAGTATGACCAACAAAGCATATTATAGATTGACAGAGAATATTACAGTCTTTATAGAGTCATCAAACGAACAAAAATCGGTACAAACTCAATATTACAATAAACCTTACAACTTTAACTTTATTAAAGTAGTCACGTGAACTCTCAAAGATTCTCTCACTTATTAATGGGTTCATAATTTGAGTCGAGATTAGAATATTCATCAGCTAAAATCTAGTTACCACGTCTTTAAGATGATATTCTCTGAAATCTCATGGGTCTTGAAAAAAATCCATTTGGTTTGCCTGATTTCACTTGTACTTATTTAATGCCTGGTGGATGTCATTTCTGGTAACATGATATGCGTGGGAATAATCCCATGGCACATCATGCCTAATGTCAAAATTAGAGAAAAAGAAAGTCCCCCGAACTAAATTTAATGACTAATTTTATTTGGCATTGACGAGAACCTCTGCTTTCAAATATGACGGCAGCATTGCATCAGATCCTTTCCTTTCCTATGTGAACAAAATTCTCCAAAATGATTAAGGAGAATAGACTTCGCACAATTTACACGTGTGGGAAAAAGGTACAATATTCAAAGAATTAAATGGACAATTTTTTCAACAATAACCAAGAAATGGAAAATAATGGAGAAAATTTCCAAACATGGTAATGATGATGGTGTTGATTTGGTCGTGACATCCAGTAGAGGGATGAGAAGGTTTTTCGACGGTTATGTTTGAATGTGAGGAGCGTTTAGAACTAAATTGTTTGTGGTTAAAAATTTAAATTATAAATTCGTTATGGTGATTCAAATCACAATATTACGATTATAAAAATGTTTTAGTTCAAGTATGGTTTTCGATATAGACATGAATTGTGGAATTTAGTTACTTAAAGGGTTAATATCACGAAAAACCCCAAACTGATATACCTATGACAAATTTACTCCAAACCAATTTTTTGACAGCGAAAAATCCTAAACTGGTACACCTATGACAATTTTACCTTGAACTAATTTTTTGACCACAAAAAACCCCAAACTGATACATCTATGACAAATTTACCCTTTGTTTGTTTCTATTAAATTTTATTGTTAAATTACCGAGTTTGATGACACATGGTAGTTGATGGGTGTACTAGTTTGGGGTTTTACCTCTCTGTTTGTCACAAGTTTACGAATTTTTGATTTTTCATGATATTGATCCAATTTAACGCATGGTAAATTTGTCACAAGTGTATCAGTTTGGGATTTCTGGTGATCAAAAAATTAGTTCGGGGTAAATTTGTCATAGGTATACCGATTTGGGGTTTTTAGTGGTCAAAAAATTAATTCGTGGTAAAATTATCACAGGTGTACTGGTTTGAGATTTTTAGTGGTCAAAAAATAAATTTTGAGTAAATTTGTCACAGGTGTACCGGTTTTGGATTTTTGATTGTCAAAAAATTAGTTCGGGGTAAAATTGTTACAAGTGTACCAGTTTGAGGTTTTTCGTGATATTAACCCTTACTTGAATTTCACTTAAAATAACCACCGGTCATTTTTTATGAATTGAGATCTTCTCCATTAATGGATAAAAGAACACTTCTTTTTTACTCTTTGAAATAATGACAGATTAACCCATTCGAAATAGTTGTTTTTTATATTTTCTTTTTTTCACTCTTTTTTCTCCATGCTTGAGGGCCGCCACCTGAACGGGTTAACATACATATTTCATCGCAAAAGTGACATGACAAGCTAGCAAAACTAAGGTATTGTCTAGTTGGGCTCAAATCCGACCTGCACTATTGCCAAATGAGCACAAAAAGATTATTTTTATATCTGGAAAAAAATATTAAATATAATTATTGCTGAATGTTTTGCAATTGTTTAAGATATAAGGCAATAATTATCAAGTAGGTGTTGCAGATCGAGTCAAATACTACA